GCATACGCACGCACACAGTCCAGTTGCCACCTCTCTGATTCTCTTTCGCCTGGATCCTCCCCAGATAGCCAAGCATCCCGGAACCCTCCACTCCCGCCACAGGGGCCATGCCCCACACGGAATCCAGCCCAGAGGCCCGAAAGGAATGAGAGGAGTCCCGGGTACTCTGGGGAGGACCAGGAGATGCTGGCAAGCCCGGTGGAGCCCGCCCCCCTCGGAGGGGAATAGACAAGGCGGCGGGCTGGAGAGAGACCATTCCCGGACAGGCAGCACCAGTCCTAGCCTTGGCAAAGCCCCAGGCAAGGGAAGAACCTGCTGGTTTGAAAAGCTTGCTCTGGGATCTCCCAGTGTAGCAGCTTGCCCCAGCTGTCTAGCTGTGGGGTAATTCAGCTCCCTCCCATCCCCGCCCCGGACCCCCGCCCTCCACTTCTTCCCCCACCCCCCAATCTAGCAGCGTACCATGAAGAATTATGAGGATGTGTGACAGAGGTATCCAGATGTTGATCACCACTGTGGGAGCTTTCGCTGCGTTTAGTTTAATGACCATTGCGGTGGGCACAGACTACTGGCTGTATTCCCGAGGCGTATGTAGGACTAAGTCTACAAGTGATAACGAAACCAGTCGGAAGAACGAGGAAGTCATGACCCATTCAGGGCTTTGGAGGACCTGCTGCCTGGAAGGTATTTACATCTTTCCTCACACTGACTCTCAAGGTTTCCCAAATGCTGTCGAGCCAGAGGGATGGGGGCGGGGGTGTAGTGGGAGGTGGGGGATTTGGGGAGTGCTTAGTTCAGGGCATTGCTGAGAAGATTTAGGTGTCCAGTACTCAGGCTAACTGAGAACATAGACTCCGAATAGCAGCAAAAGATGTGTAGCTGTGTGAGGTGGACGGAATGGTTTCGTGTCGGCCTGGGACTCCACAGGACTGTAGGTGGCAACGGTGTTTAAGGAAGTCATTTGCCAAAGCTCAGAGCCTTCCAACGTCTTTTAGGCTTCTTAGAGCTTGTTGGGGGTGGGGGGAAGAAGAGGTAAGGGGGAGGTGTTGGCTTCCAAGGTTCTCCCTGTACTAGTTGCCACCCGCATTCGCCTGCCAGGAGTTATCAAGAGCAGGAATTCTCCCGAAAGCTGGCGTTTACATAGCGCTTCACAATTTATGAAGTGCCTTCCTCTCAACAGTCGTGGGATGCAGGCAGAGAAAGAAATTGAGGTTCAGAAAGGGGATTAACTTACCCAAGGTCACAGGACTAATAAATGGTCAACTGGGCACCCTAATCTAAGACTTCTGACTCCAAGGCTAACATCCTTTACATTGCACCATACTGGGTACAACGTATGACAGGGACAGTTTTCTATCCTTTTTCTGACCAGAAACCCTAGCTAGTCTAAATTTTTCCAAAGTGGGTGCCTTCCATGGACCCCCTTGTCCCTCCCAACATTCCCATATCCTCCCTCCTCTTCAAAAACATACACTATCATGGTACACTCCTACTAAACCCAGGCATACACACACACACACAATAGCTAAGGAAAACTTCATTGTCTTTCCCCCCTATTTCACAACAGGATATCTACCACCCACTGCCACATCAAAGGAAGCCGAAAATCTCAGCATTCAGGCTGACAACTCCTAGGAAACCATCTATTGCCAAAAAGAAGAGTTTTTTTCTTCCCTCAAATCCTACCCTTACACACACACACACACAGATATTTTCCTTAAGTTCCCCTTAGATTGATGGGGTACCTTCTAGGTAGTGAGCTGCCTGTCATTGGAAGCTAAAGCATGGCCACTTGTTGGGTACGTCATCTAGGGAATGAATGCTTTGTGTTTAGGTTGCTTTAGATGGTCTTGTGAGGTTGCCTCTGTGATTCTATGATTCTACAATTCTAATATTTTGTGATTCTTAGATTCTGAGACTATACTATTTTAATATCCTATGAATCTAAAATGTGATGATTCTAAGGTACCATGCCTGATTCCTCAAGACGCAGCAGCGCTGTAACTGGTTTTTCTAAGTCAGAATTTGTCTTTGGCTTAAACTAGAAGGGTATCTTCCAAATTGTAATTAAGAATATAGGCCAAATATTTTCCTTTACCAGAGGTATTTGTTTGGCTGTAATAGTAGGTCCTGGTTAATCTTTCTTATTATGAAACTTGTTCTAACTGTAGAATAAGAGGTTTGAAGGGGAATAGGGCAGTGTACAAGTGCCAGTAAAAACTGTTAGGCAGATCGTGTAGAAAATAAAAGCTCTTTCGGGATCAGGGGATGGAGGAAGTTGGTCAAAATAGAAGGCCAGGATTGAGGTTCTCTTAGACTCACTGATGAATCTTTCAACAACCTGGAGCAACAGCTAGAGTGATGGGCACACTTTAAGAAGCTCCTGAAACTGGGGCCCAGAGAGGTTATCTCCCCTTTCTGGACCCCAGTTTTCATCTTCAAAATTGACTGCTAACGTCTATTCCAGCTCTGACATTCTATGTTTTATATGTCCAAGGGTCTCTTCTAGGTCCAACATTTGATGCGATGTGTTCTAAGGTACCTTTAATTTCTAACAATGTTAAAGGTCCCTCCTGTATCTAATATTCTTTGAATCTATGAAAGCCAGGGTCTCTTCCTCCCCTTTATCCCCATGTTTTCTTTGCTGATTTTTCAATGACTGGCATTTACCCACTAACTGAAAAATGTCTGCGTTGCTGTTTGTGTGTATCTTACCAATAGTGATGAATAAAAACCTCAAACCAAGTGAGTGATTAATAAGGCAGGGAAAAAGCTGTTTCAGAATACTGATGAGAGTCCAACATGGCAACTGTGCTGCTCTTACTAAGTGAGTATAAAAGCTTTATGAATGACTTGGAAGAGAGGTTAGTTAAAGTAATGCAATTTTTAAGAGTTCTATCAATGGGAAAAGAGATCAGGTGCACCAAATATAAAGTGCAGGAATCTGAGAAATCCATTGATCCAAATTCCTCATTTCACAAATGGAGAAATTGAGACCCTGAGAGAGGAAGTGATTTGTCCAAGGTCTTGCATCAAGTTAGTAGCAGAGTCAGATAGTCTGACTTGGAATTTTTCCATTATATGATACCACTGCTGCACAGAAGCAGAATAGCAAAGCTGGAAGCAATCATAGAGATCCCAGAGTCAGACCCCTCACACAAATACACACAGTCATTTTATAAATGAAGAAACTAAAGTCAAAAATGGGTAGTGACTTGCCCAAGGTCGTCACATAGATGGTTAATGACAGCATAGTTCTAAAATCTAGCTTTTTTGGCTTGCCATTCAGCATTCTTTCTATTATACCGCTTGGCTAGATGGCCTCTGCCCACCTTCCTATCATCACCCTACCTCCTGACAACCTTAAAGGCTTATATACATACTAGCTATTGTTGTTTTTAATGATGTGCTTCTCACACTCTAATTGGAAAAATGCCTTTGTGCAAATGCCTCAGTAGCTAGTGCTATGACTTCACTTGCCAGTGTAATATTACATCATCTCTCAGCCTTCTTTCCCATAGTCCTGACACCATAGAAAACTGTTGTCCTGATTGTAGCACAGCTAAAATTACTTCAGTCTTCAAAATACTACAAATTTGCAGTTTGTGAGGCTGCAGCTGTGGAAAAGCCACTTGAGAAGCAATTTGGTGTAATGGAAGCAATGTTGAACTGGAAGCCGGGACACCTAGGTCCCATCTCTGTCACTGCAGAGAATCTCAATTACCATCTTTTAAATGAGGAGGTAGTACAGTTTTGATGTTTGATGTTCTTTGTTCTAAAGTCTCTACCAACTCTTATCATGTTCTAACATTCTATGGTTTTGCTCCCAGGTCTGATACCCTATTTTTTATTTTCTTACATTCTATTGCAACACCAATATTCTATGTTCCAAGGTCCCTTGCTACCTTCATATATTAGTGTCACACACAGCTCTGATAACATCCACTCTTACTTCATCCAAATGGTAGCATATTCTTCCACGTCAATTTTCCTCTACATATGAACAAAATAAAGGGCTCAGTGATTGTCTAGCATAGTCAGTCACATTAGGGAATTTTTGCCTGCCCATTGACTGAAGCTTCAAAATGCATTGCTGCCAGGGTACCAGGCTAAGAATTCCTACCAGGGTCTCTAGCAGTACAGTGGAATCAGGTATGGTTTGCCGTAGCTGCATGCATAGCTCCTGGAATGGGGGAAGAAGGCAGAATCAGCCCCTGCTACTAAGAGAGTGACTTGCCCTCAGAAACTGCTCACAACCACCATGAAACAAGCTCATGCTATTTTCTCAATCCAGCTGCTGTCAGGAAGACCTGGCTTGGGCACCTTCTTAATTTCCCTAGTATTTTCCTTAAGTCATCTGGGACTTCTTCCCCTTTCTTTTCCTTTTTATTCAGCATCCAGACAATAGAAACTAGAGTTCTCTTTTATATGGCACTTTATGGTTCAAAAGAATTTTACACACATTATTTCACTGGATCTTCACAACGATCTGGTGAGTAAGAGTGAGGCAGTCAACAGGCATTTATTAAGCACTAGAGATACAGGGAAAAGAAAAATCGGCCACTGCCCACAAGAAGCTCACACTCTAACAGGAAAGATAACATGCAAATAAATCAATACACATATGCATATGTATAATGACATATATGCATGTGTATATGTATCATATATTCTACAGGTAGCTAACTGGCACACATAATATATATGAGTGTATACATTACACATACAAATATACAAATGTATATATTATAACATGACTATATACATGATATCAACATGCATATCCTATATATATATTCTATATAATACATGTGTGCACATATGTATACATGTCTGTGCATTGTGTATGGGGTAAATTTGTAGGCAATCAGAGGGAAGACAGACAAGGGTAGTGTATTATTCTCCCCATTTTCTGGACAAGAAAACTGAGCCTCAGAAAACTCAAGTGGCTTGCCCATAACCACAAACCTGGAAAGTGGCAGTGATATCACTTAAACCAACATTTCCTAATCTAGTGTTTTTTCCATTACACTGAGCTTCCTCTCAAAAGATTCTCATGCTCACCTGGGCAAAACCCTGGACTATAACCAAGGTATTCATATCTTCTATCCCACCATTTTAGGGTCCTTAGTAGGAGAAATGAGAAAAGCAAAAATATGGATGATCCAACTTGTTTCCTAGGACTGGTGAACTATCTTGAGAAAGCCAATTTCAGTCATTATCAGCTTGGATCATGCTGATATTTGGGCCCAAGAAACTCTTTAACATATCCACTTTTCCAGATCCTTTATAGCAGGGGTTCTGGACCCATTTTGTGTTATGGATCCCTTTAGCAATATGATGAAGCCTATGGACTCCTCAGGAAAAAGAAGTTTTTAAATGCATAGAATAAAATATGTAGGACTACAAGGGAAAGCAATCATATTGAAATAAAATTTTAATTGTTTCTCACTCAAGTTAGCAGACTCACTGAAATCTATCCATGGACCAGTCCATGGACTCCACATTACATTTTAGCAATGTTCCCCTGTGCCACTTATATCCTTCACCACCAATAGCAGCACTCCCATACTGATACCAGTCCTCCCTAGCTAATTAAATAGATCCCTGGTAGTTGGCTTAGGAAACTGCCTATAACAAGAAAATTCCATTTTGAAGCAGTGATAAAAAATTCAGAAACCAGT